CAGACAGATCGTGTCCAGACACCAGGCACCCTTGCTATCAAAACTAGCGCCCTTGCCTATTAAAACAACCGTTCAAGTGTATCTGCTACAACTGCCCCCCCCTCTAGGCAGTGCCCCGTCCTCGGGGCCTGGTGGGGGGTGTGGGTCGGGAGGAACTTCCACTTCATTGGTAGGCGAGGGGACTAAATGGGGAGTGAGGATGGGTAGGGTATCGTGGGACGCTACGGGAAGACTGCCGTGGTAAGGTTTTAACTTGTCGAAGTGTACAGTGAAGTTGGGGCCGGCGTGGGTGAGGGCGTCGCGGATAATGTAGGTAGTGGGCGAAATGACATCGGTGACCACGAACGCTCCTTCCCACGGATGGAAGAATTTGGCCGGTGTGCCAACAGGCGGAACCGCCCGATAGCGGAGCACTAAATCGCCGATGTGGTAGGGGAGCCCGTGTGCCCGGCGGTCGAAATAGGTCTTCTGTCTGTCGTAGGCGTTGCGGAGTTGTGTGCGGGCCAGGTTGTGCGTGAGCCTTAGTAGCTCCTGTAGCTCTATCACGTAGTTGTCGGTTGTATAGGCCATCGGTTGCTGCGCAGGGACGTTCGAGTCCGCCGGTAGTCGGAATTGGCGGCCGGTGAACATATAGAATGGGGCGTGGCCCGTTGAAGAGTGAATGGCGGCTCTGTAGGCCATCATGGCGAAGGGCAATTTCACGTCCCAATCGTGTGGGTGGTGGTCCTCGGCGAAAGCCTTCAGGATATTAATGATGGTTCGGTTTGTACGCTCCACCTGGCCATTGCCTTCTGGGTGGGTTGGTGTAGTTCGAGTCTTGTGGATGAGGAGCAGGTCACAGACTTCGCGCAGAAGGTGGCTTTCGAAGTTGGCTCCGCAATCGGAGTGAAGTGAAAAGGGTGCTCCGTATCGACAGACCCATTCCTTTAGCAGCGCTTTGGTGACCGAAGCTGCGTCTTGTCGATGTAAGGGGATGGCCTCAGCCCACTTCGTAAAATAATCGACCAACACTAAGATGTAGCGATGGCCGGAAGTTGTGTAAGGCAATGGGCCGACTATGTATACACCCACCCGTTCAAAAGGAAAGCCTGTAATCATAGGCTGTAGGGGTGCACGATTTCGTGGGATGGTGCCCTTGAAGGAGGCACAGGTGGAGCACGCGTCACAGAAGTTGGCGACCTGCTCTCTGAGGCGGGGCCACCAGAAGCGCTGCCTAGCGGCCGCTTCCCTTTTAGTCGCTCCTACATGTCCCAGCTCGTGGTGTAAGTCTGTGAGGACAGGCATGACGAGGCTACTCGGGACAACTAGCCGCGGCCGGGTGGATGTTGCGTCTTTAAAGAAGAGTAGTTCATTCTCAACGAACAGGTTGGCCCATTGGTGGCACAAGAGGCGGGCGACCTCCGAGGAGCCGCGAAGTTCGATCTCTGTTGGTCTGTTTCGACCATGCAACTGGTGGTCGTAAATTATTGCGGTGTCCGGATCGGTACTTTGTGCCACTGCCCAATGATAACGAGTGGGTTCACTGATTGTAACCGTCGCTATGTGTTCATCCGTTACTTCTGAGTCTGCTGTGCCGGCCTCACTTGGGCGGCGAGAAAGGGCGTCCGCGTTGGCGTGTTGGTGGCCTGGTCGATATTGACAAGTGAAATCGAATTCTTGCAGTAGTTCTTGCCATCTCGCAAGCTGGCCTTCGGCTTCTTTCATGTTTTGTAACCACTGTAAGGCCTTGTGGTCGGTGCGGACAATGAAGTGCTTTCCCACTAAGAATGGTTTGAATTGTTTGATAAACGTGATCAGTGCTAGCAATTCTCGTCGGTAGGTGCAATAGTTTCGCTCGGGCTTCGATAGGGTTTTGCTCGCAAAGCAAATCGGTCGCTCGGCCCCTGTCTCATCGGCTTGTGAGAGTACGCCCCCGATCGCGAACCCGCTGGCGTCGCTATCGAGTATGAAGGGAGGAGCCTCAGGACTCGTGTCAGGTAGCATTAATATCGGTGCCGAAGTGAGTTTTGCTTTTAACTCATTGAAGGCCTGTTGACAATCGTCGGACCATGCGACTGGGCGACCTTTCTCGGTCAACCTATGGAGGGGACTTGCGAGCTCCGCAAAGTGGAGGATAAAGCGGTGATAGTAGGAGGCCAGGCCGAGGAAGCCTCTGACTTCAGTTGGGGTCTTCGGCGTAGGCCATGATCTGACTGCCTCTACTTTTTCCTGTGACGCCTGAATGCCTTGCGGGCTGACTTCGTGGCCAAGAAATGTGACTTTCCGGCACAGAAACTTGCACTTTTGTGGATTTAAACGCAAGCCGGCGTCGCGGAGAGCAGAGAGCACTGCGGCGAGGTTATCGTTATGTTGCCGGGCCGTGCGTCCAAACACGATCACGTCATCGAGGTATATTAAATAGCTGTGAGGGTATAAGTGAGCCAGGACGGACTGCATCAGCCGTTGGAAGGTGGCGGCTGCGTTGCAGAGCCCGAACGGCATGGTTTCGAATTCAAACAGCCCTTGTGGTAGTATAAACGCTGTTTTTGGGCGGTCTTTAGGTTCTACTTCAACTTGCCAATAACCGGACTTCAGGTCCAGCGTTGAGAACCATTGGGCTCCGGCAAGCGCTTCGAGTGTGACATCAATTCTTGGAAGTGGAAACGAATCGCGGGTGGTGACCGCATTAATTCGCCGATAGTCTATACAAAATCGGAGTTTGCCGTCTTTTTTGGGCACAAATGTGACTGGCGATGCCCACGGCGACTTGGAGGGGCGGATTATCCCTGTGGTCAGCATCGTTTGAATTAGGTCGCTCACCTCCTTCTGAAAGTGTGGTGGAATGCGGCGTGGTGGTTGCCACAGAGGTTTCGACGTGCCGGTGTCAATGCTGTGACGGATGACAGCGGTGCGGCCTAAGGAGGTATCGTCCCATGCGAAAACATCGCTAAACGCAGTCAGAAGTGACTTCAAGTCTGCCTTGTCGGTAAGGGCGACCGTATCATCTGGGGGTAAGACCGTGTCTACGCTTGTGGGCGGTAAGGCTACCGACGCTGCGATGGCCGCGCAGGTGGCTTCTTCGTCAAACCCGGCGGCTGTAGGGTGGTTAGGCGATGGCTTATGCCCTAAGGATAGTATGCGCTCTTTGACCATAATACAACAGTTGTGCGCAGAAAGGAAATCTAGGCCGAGTATCATGTCCCACGACATCCTGTGAGTGACGACAAACGCTTGTTCCTTAACGCTGGTTGGGAAGGAGATGGGCAGTCGAACCATCCCTAACGTGGTCATGGGTGACCCGTCTGCGGTTTTGAGGTGTGGTGAGCGACCGCTTTGTCGGGCGAGATTAAGCCACTTCGAGCCTAGTACGTCTGCCCGAACTAAGTACGTGGTGGCGCCTGTATCGACTAGAGCCTTAATGGGTTTGTCGTCTAGGTAAATTGTCGTGTAAAACGGTAAACTATGTGACGCGTTATCAAAGCAGACGGGAATGATGTGGTTACCTTCCTTGGTAATCGCCGCCGCAGTACTGTCTCTATCTCCCCGGAATTGTCTTGGCCCAGTGTTGAGCGGTGGGGGTCGATAGGGCGTGCGGAACGTGGGGTGTCGGCTGCCGCGGTTGAATCGTTGTGGAGGCTGATAGTGCGGTCTGGTCCAGGTGTTGTCCTGTTGCCTGCGGTCTGGCGTGGATTTCCACGGTTCAGCCCGGCGGTGGTTATCGCCTGTTGGGGCATCGGTTGTTAGCATGCGGGATGCCCGCTGGATGGCTTCGTTGAGGTCGCCCGGTGGCTGAATTCTCAGGGAATACGTCACCTCCTGGGACCCGAGTCCGCGTTTGAAGTGGTAAAGGACCACTTGGTCTCTATCCGCCGCTGAAAGTGAGGGGAAGGCGTCGCGTGCAAGCCGAAGTAAGGCGTCGACGAACTGCCAAGGGGTCTCATCGCTCCTTAAGGACCGTTGTAGTAACTGGTCAAGGGCTTCCTCAATGGTCAATGGGGGTTGGAATAGCCTCTGCAATTGGTCGCACAGCACCTGGAAAGGGATGTGGCGGGTGAGGCCGGCATCGAGTGCCTTGTCCATCTGGTCGTCTGCAAGATGTTGAAGCACCGTACGGCTGCGTTCGTTTTGTGGAACATCGTCTAGATGGAACTTAAGGCGGCGCAGCCAGCACGAAAAATCTTTGCTCCCGTCGTAGGGTTTAAAAGAAGAGGGAACAGGGTTTGTTGCACTGTTTTTAGGCTGTGGGCTCGGCTCGTTCGCTGCCACCATTGTAGCGTCCGACCTCGGTAGTGGTTCGGTGGCCGAGGGTTCACTGGTGTCCTTCTGGGTCGCCTGAGACAGAACGGCGGGAACTGGGGCACTCTGTCCAATTTGTGAACCGTTAGGATCGTCCTTCCAAGTGTTCATTATCGAATAACAATCCTCAAGCACACGATAAGCCGCGTAGTACTCCAAGGTTTATTGAGGAAGGGCAAAAGGGGGAACGCAAAACGAGGGCAAAACAGAGGTAGGAATCTAATAGTCCAACAAACGTTAGTTTCACAGTTGTCCAGGGAAGGTGGAGTCGGATGCTGCCACCGGGGAGGGGGAGTCTTCTTCCTCGCGCACCTCAACTGAAAAACAAGAGAATGCAGACAGATCGTGTCCAGACACCAGGCACCCTTGCTATCAAAACTAGCGCCCTTGCCTATTAAAACAACCGTTCAAGTGTATCTGCTACAGATATTTGAAGAACGTGACGATTTGACCTCCGACCTACGGACTTCCTATTACTACCATTAGTGCATCTCTCTATATGCCATCGCTAGGCCCAAATTTGTATTTGTTTCTAGTTAACGACTTTCCTAGGCTGTCTGGGAGGTCGTTGACTTTAGCAGTCAGAAAAACTCTTTTCCAGGACACTGGTTCATTCTTAATTTAATGCGTTACGTAGTCTGTTTATTGTGGTTACCGATCCTCTTGTTTGGTGCTCGAGCTGCTTGACCTTTCGACTCCGGCTTTCTTCGCGATGCCGTTTAGTCATGAATACTGAGGTTCGCTGATCAGTTTTATATGCCCGCTAAGTTTATGTTACCGCTCTTAACACGCCAACAGCGTGTTCTTTTCGATTGAGCCTACAAGAAGGCATTCAAACTCAGTTAGTCCACTTACTGTTCAGTTCAGTTTATTGAGTGAATAGCGTGAGCCCTTGAGTACCCTATTTGCAACGTAAAATTTGCGGCGATGTACAGAGAAAATATGTGATCTGAAATAATTCAAATAGCCCATAGTGGTATGGAAAATTGAGCGCATAATCTAAGTTCTGTACATTTTTTATACCATGTCAAAAGACTTAATAATCCTATTGTGATTGAAGTGCTAGTCCGGGACGCCGGTTTGTGTTAAGCAAACCTTTCTAATAGATCTGTCGGGTGATCCTTGTCAACGTCCCGCCTAGATCTTGCAAGGAAACGACTTCCGATAAAGAATTAAACGAAGTCTCTCGTTTATGTGTGGGCGCCAATGTCCTTGGACGTCCTCGCCGCTTGTTTGCAGCGGACATGCTGTAGCTTTCCTTATTTTACCTCCCTGTTGGCGGCGACTTAGAATATATCGGTCTCTTTGACGCGTCACCCCAGCCAAATACTACTTCGTGCTTTCTTTCGATGTCCTTCGCTGCGTTCATTTCGGTATCCATAACTCCTTCACAGGTATGAGTTTTCAAGCTGTCGAGCTAACTTTGCCATATTCAGCGGATTAAGGGACAAATCTTAGCATTGCTTTAGGTAGTATTAATTATTTGAAGTATCACGGTTCCGACTTCAGCAACACTTGTGGAGCATTGCCATCATAAAAACTAGATAATCCCCCAAGTTTGGCTCGATCGTATTTTCTTTATCAGAAATTACTAACTTTACTGTTCGTTTTTGATTAGGTTGAAAATAGCCGTTTTTACTGCACTTTAGGGCTCTGTGGGTATTTGTGTCTCGCTAGTCGTGGGACATTTCGCCATAATGCGCTTGCTCATGGTTAGACGCCTACGCAACAAAATAATAATCTACAAGGTCATAAGCTGACGCGGTCATGACATGCAAATGTTGCCCGTCACCTTATAAAACTACATTTGCCTCCATAAGCTTACAGATAATGGTCTCGTTCGCCAGTTCAGCTGAACTGTCGACTTTGCCCATGCCATATCTTCCGATTCTTCATGGTTATCCACGACCTCTATTATTTGCCTCATGTTTCGAAGTCCGCTGGAGTCAACGCGTCCAGGCTTCCATTAATTGCTTAGATGTAAATTATGCGGACCGGTGGTCTAGGAAAAAGTAAAGAAATACGTCTTTTCTTCTCGAACTCGTGAACCTGGAGACCTAATCTTATTAGCACTGGCGGTATGCACACTGCCCTTCTATGGCATCGTCCTTTTTTGCCCTTCGGAAATCCGACTGCTGGCGTCATCCACCGCCCCTTTTGCAGTGATATGCATGTAAACCGGTTTGATATGCTGTTGTATTTCTGCAACTTTGAGAGTGGACAAGACGCTCATGACCTTTGGAGCCCCTCTGCCCGGGTTACCCATATGCAACTAAAAGACTATTACAAACGACAGTGTTACTATCCGCACCCCCGTCAATACAGATACCGACGTAGGCGAGGAGCTATACGATCAGCTTCACAGAGTTTTATTATCGACAACAAATTGGTTGCAGGAGATGTAAACATACACACTGACAAAGTTGGCCGTACAGCCCATCGCCTCCTCGGAGCCTTTGTGATGAGCAGTCAGCTGGACAAATGGGATCGACTCCTTAGTTCCCCGAAACCATTCGGCCAAGATTCATTAACACCTGGTCCCAGCACTCGAAGAAACCTTAGCCTACCTGATGTTCCAGTGACCTGGGAACTACCATGCGAAATTATTACATTACATTATGGGCAAAATGGTTTCGCAATGTCTCTCATCATGTGGAGTCGAGATAGGCTGCTAATATGGCTTAGACGTATCCGCTCTTGCGTCTGAGTTTTTAAGAAAGCTTCAGCCTCAAAAAAATCGACGTTCACAAGCGTTAAGGCAACGGAAGAGTCGACCACCAGCAAAAGCGACATCAAATGCCTTGTGTTACTGCGGAATGAGCCGTAATCATGAACGTCATTGTGTGGGCTTTGGTTACTCACATAGACGATAGCAAGTGTAAACCGTGCGACTTGACGTCTCTAATATCTGTATGTTATGCAGTTGGACAGATCTGATGGGGTACGGGGCCCTAATGGACACTGGAGTTAACATCAGGGAACCCGCTCACCTGGCCATTTACACGAGATTTAGTTTTTTGTTAGAATGGACTTTAATTGATCAAAGTAGATTCGGTGGCATTTTATCACACAGCTTCATCGCCTGTAAGGAATCCTGATGTTGACGAAGTTATAATTACTGAGGAATATACTCCGCCGTTACTGGAATCAGCACCGATTACGTCTTGTTCGCGCGTCGCAATACAAGCGGAAGCAACTGGGGAAAGCGAATGAGGCTTTGATGACAGAGCCAGTGTTTGTAATAAGGTGTGTTTTGTAGAGAAGTCTGTGACCTTAGCAATTTTCGTAAGCACTACGTTGATCCAGTTGGGGCTAACGTTTTCTGGCATCCAAATATGGGTCGTAAGCCGAAACGTCAGACGAATAAAATTATCTCTCCAATAATTGCGTTTCCCTCTGTCCAACGGCTTCCCGAAACTTGCATTTCTGCTGCAATCGCCAAGTAGGCTCGTGTCCGACGAGTGGCAACTCGTAGGTCACGCAGCGATACTACTTTAAGAAGTGGCTGATCACCGACCTGGTGAATCGGTTATCATTAAAAACGTCACAGCCGTTAGCAACACTTGGACATGACGAATTTTGCCCGCCATCCAATAAGGCTTTATCAGTCGTATTATGAATTAGAGCCACACTAATAGTTCGGACTGGATTGGAGACCTCATCTGCACCATATTTCTGCACACGTCTATGGAAGTGGCCTTACGCTGCACTGGATTTTACCGGCAGACCCTGGAACACCTTTTGTTACCTGGCTGGCGCCTCAAGCTGCCGTGTGTGCTCTCTTTCCTGTCATTATCCCCACACAGCTAGTGACGTAAAACATGACAAGCGGGAGAGAGTAGACGCGCCGATCTGTCGAAATGCCACATCAGTGTAGCTGTGTGGACTTTGAACTATTAAAACCCAGAATGACGGCTCCTCATACATCAGAAGTGTGGGCAATTTCTCTGGTATGCACTGCGAGCTTGGAGTTGACTTCTAGTCTTCTGCTTTCGAATTAGTGTTAATAGGATTCAATCTGTGATTTTCGTACGGTTTCCCCAGCGAAATTAAAACGCTTGCCGAAATTCCTTCTGGTGTTAGGGAATTTTTCTATCACATCATACGGCGAAAAGTTTTAATCTGGGGTTTATGGGCTACACTTACCCCAAGATGTTTCAGCAGTCAGCTTTCCGCTAGCATCACTGCTGCGAATCTGCGGCTGTGACCTGATTTAAAACTATGCTGTCCTTCACGTACGTTTGTTTTGCCCAGAGAGCAATCATGCGTTCCTTCTCATGCCTTTCGCACCAAAGTGGTTAAAAGTAGTTTTTCAGAGGGATTTTTTGTGTTGTCAATGATTACTGACCCTATAGTGGGCAAATCATCCTCCGTTTAATCTCACGTTCATTTTGTGGATTCTTGGTGGCCCTTTTATGAACAAACTTTTCATGATGAGGGAGACCGTGGTCTTTTTTCGGTTGAATGGATATTTCGAAGCCATTTGCACGCAAGACCTGCACGGGTTGAAACCCGGAAGAAGCATTTGATTTCGCTCCTTGAATACCTGTGGAGGAATCTTGTAGGATGGGAAGAACCTAATAGCGGTTACAACCAGAAGGCCTGCTTATGGCCTAGTTTGGACATTTCTTCTAGATGTGCATTGCATATAATCCAACGTCGGTAGCCAAGAAAGCCGGACATTTTTCTTATCTTTAAAATTACCCCTTCTCCTAGAAAATGCAATGTCGAATCAGCGAAATTACACGAACACACACACGTTTTCTAATTTGGCCAGAATGTTCGACATAGGGCTACTTACCTTCGCATATTGTGTTTAATTGTTGTAAGAGCAAAACACATTTGCCCGCTGTAAAGTAACGCACAAAAGTAAACTTTCGATCAGGTTTATTTTTCCATGGTCGGTTATTATTAATACTTGCTACTGGGGTATCGCTTTCATCGTCATTCTGAAAGGGAGGCTGGTTTTTTCTGTTCCGTTCAGGGCCAGGTGAAATGCAACTTTTGTAACGGATTCTACGACTTTGGCAGTGACCAACCAGTCTGTTCCACCTGCCACGCGTTTGTTTATGATTTCTCCACGGACTCCTTTGAGGACAGTTGTTCAGCGAAGGAGAAGGAGGCCTCAAACGACAGCGGCAACGAGGAGCCTGAACGCGTTTCTGATTTTTTTCCTCTAGGCGTGTCTCAGGAAAACCTCCGATATCCGCCGAACACTACTGCACCCACCCCGTCTGTTTTTCACACCCCCGCAGCGCACCCACGCCCTTCACACAGGACTTGTCCTTACCGCCAGCAGAATTCTCATGGAAGCAGTGACTGTTACCGTCTCTCGGTTTCTGATCAGCCGCCTTCTAACCCATCCACATCATACTCCCTTGAGAGCCTGCCCGTAGAGGTGCTGCTTCGAATTGTGGACTATCTGGATGACGTCTCTGTGTGGACTCTGCGCGTGGCCTCACAGAGGTGCTGTTCTATAATCGACAGTGAAATCCCAGAGCAGCGTTGGGCAGAATTCGTGGCCCATCGCTGGCCAATCTTTGTTCCGCGCTACCGGGTCTCCTCCTGGCGTCTGCTCTACCTAAACATGATGGAAAGCGTCACTTGCCGACTTTGTTTGAGTCGGCTGCATTCCCCTGTCCTCTTTCCGGTCGAGGGTCCCGACAGGCGCTTCAGACGGATAGTATCGGAGATCAAGAGCCTCTGTGCCGACCCGCCTTATGGCATTAAAGCTATGGCATTGGACACGGCAACTTATGCGCACTGTCTGGCGGGCATAGCTGGCCCTCCGGGATCTCCCTACGAGGGCGGCCTTTTCTACGTTCACATCCTGATCCCGGATAGTCATCCCATGCGTCCGCCTGTCATCAGATTCCTTACTCGCATTTTGCATCCAAACATCAGTTTTCACGGCGACATCGGTTTGGACTGTATTCGCCACAACTGGAGTTTGGCGCTGACCCTAGACAAACTGCTTCTGAGTGTACAATCCCTTCTAACTGATCCCTACACCAAGGTTTGTATGGAACCGGCTATCGGCGCTCTGTACAATCGTGATCGAGACAAATTTGAAGAACTTGCAAAACTGTGGACATGGAAGTTTGCCTGTCACGACTACCTGTCAACGTCGTTTGTGTCGCAGGTCTCATTACCGGACTTTACGACTTGGTAGAGCTGACAGCTGTTTGATTCTTTTGATCCAGAAGCCAGACTCTGCGGCACTTTGCACGAAGGGGAAGCTTCATTTTACTCGAACTTCTTATGGGCGACTGACTCACCCTAATCTTGTTGTCTTCTGCGCTGGAGTCGCATGACTTGCATGCTTCCGGACAGACCACTAGAAAAAAAACTTTTTCTCTTTTCTTTCACCAATTATCTTACATGCAGAATATTTTCTATTGCTTAACAAGCCACTGTTGTGCAACAAAACACCAGAAATTTCGGCTTTTGCGCCACCTATGACCAACATTTCTTCACTTAAGCTAATGCGCGATGGGCGGAGACATTCTCCCGAAGCAAGTGTGTTTCGCTACTGCCACAGTAACCACTCTGGATTGCTTTTCCACCGTGGTCGATGACAACAACCACTGTCTAGGGAAACAACACTCACTTGCGTACGATTTTATTTATAACGAAGGAGACCCCCTCCAACATGCACCTCCCCTCCTTCCTCATGCCCATGGTCTCCCAAAACTAAGGCGGCCTGAGGTGGGTATGGTTGTGGTGTCTTACGCAGCGAACCCGCGTCTGCGTGTGCCACACACACGCTGCCTCGCGCACGCGAGAACCGGACCCCAATGTCTTGAGCCCCACATGATTGAGAGATGTTGCAAAGGCCGCATCACGAGGAGGTGCTAAAATCTTGCCATCCATTCGGAGGTCTAATTTGCCTCGTCAGTCGACGGCCTTCTTGGCCACGGCTTCTATCGTATCATGATGTCTCAAAAATGCATCACAGTGATTATTAGTGCCTAGAGTAGACTCCGGGTCGGTGTTAGGATATTTGCCTCAGGGTTGGTCTCATCGTGGGCCGGTAGTAAGCCCTTACCAGACCGACTAGGCATATAACCAGGAGCGTAGCGTTGCCGCCGCCACCACCACCACCATCACCACTATAATCAGCAAGCGGGTCGGTGCGCCACGCTGCATGTTACAGGTGGCGGTGAGGAGGTTGGGTATTCTTTACGTAGAATGTAGTGTATGTTCGAGGGCTTTGATAAGGCCAGGTGGCCCTGATTGCCACATCCTGCAAGATTGTTTGGCTTTAGTGGATGGCAAGATGAAACATGCGTTGTGTTCGATTCACGAGTTGGCTGAGTGTTCTTGTCCAGCGTGTGCTTTAGGCAACAAATGGACTCACCAATTAGCGATCGACTTATAATCCTGGCTCTACAAACCGTATCTAGACCGAGAACCACACGCGAACTGTTAGGGACGCTCTGACGTGCCGGTCCCCCAGGACTAAGTCCAAAGCCTGCGAAATACGTGTCAGGAATTCTTTTCGGTATCTTGACGGAGCCGGACTGCCTCACGGCATGTGTTTAGCGGGTAGTGCAAAGTCCGAGCAAGCCCATGCATGTGTGACGAGCCTTCACGTTGTGTTGGCCACGAGACCAAGCCCCATTACCCCTCGGCTGACAGACTGGGCCAGTCGATTGGCGCATGAAAGAGGGAAGACAGATTAGGGCCGACACTGGGAAGCCCTCCTTCACGGCACACCAGCTGATTCCTCAATATAACAAATCTGACACGCTTGAATCTGTCACAACGCGCTAACAGTCATGACCTGGAATTTCGAAAACTGACGGGACTGGCTGTAATGGCTCCTTAACATGACCTTCATGTCACTCACGCATTTGAGATCCGAGCCACCTCGAGTGCCTGACTCACCTGGAGGCCAGGTCGTCGTGTGTGGTACGCGTAGGGGGTTGTTTAATCTCACCGGCCACTGCGCCTGCGCCCACTCCCGATCTCGCTGTCGGATTAAGATGCGTGAGGGAGGAGAAGGTGCGTTAGATAGCGCGGAAGTCTTCCCCACCTACAAACTAATTCACGCTCAAGTCACCGGCGTTGTTTCCACTCCCTAGGAGACGCGGTGGAAGTCGTAGCCTACGGCGGCAACCGGATTTTCATGAGGGAAACATGCTGAAGTAGGTTTCTGCGTACCAAATACACGAATTGATACCTCGGTAGAAGTCGAGAGCACTCAACTCGACTGTTCGCACAAATAACGGGGTGGATGCGCGAGATCGTGTCCCCGCGACTGTTCCATCTTCTGACCAAAAGGACTGAGCTGTTTTGTTGACAGTCTATTTCCCCACGCTGGGTGCACTTCTTCGTTGCTTTTACAGTCACATACCGGTTCCCTTGAGCGCTAATTCTTGACGATTGATAGTCAACGCCATCAGGGGTTGGCCAAGTCGCCGAGCCACCCGACGGTAGGGGTTGAGAGCGAGTTCTGTAGACACCGCACCCAAATTGTCAGTCGGAGCACTTCGATGCGCTGGGTTTCCATTTTCTGTGTGTTGTCCGTCCTTTGACGAAAGAGGCTAAACGGCCCAGTCAAAAGACCCTACTTTGAGCTGTCGGGGTTAATCTCAATCAAATCCATATTACACTACAAGCCGCAACTCTAATTCTTAACTGATGTTGGCCACGACTCGTAGAAACGGCCTTTTCCCGATCAACTGTTCAAAGTGTGAGGCGACACGCTGAACCACACACACACTGAAATCGGTTGTCGCTAGCTCTGGTCGCGTTCAGCTAATCTCTTACGTGTCACAGAACATGTCTGTCTATGTATGAGGGCTGTCAACTGATGGGATAGCTCGCTCCTCGTGTGCCTGTGGGGTGACTGGCTCGAGGACTGGGATTCAGGCGCTATGGTCCCATTTTAGTGTGGCCTCTATGACACTCTCGCGAATGTGAGATTCGAGACCCTCTTCCTCTGAAAGTCCGGTTCGTTGTGCGGGGACCAGGTCGTTTGTGGCACACATCGACGGATTGTTTAATTTTGTCAGCCACTGCCCTCTGAGTCCACCTCAGATCCTCTCGACATTGTCTTGCCTTTGGAGCCTGGTGAGTAGGGGGGAAGGGAGTGTGGTAAATGCCGCGCAAGTTTGCCTCACTACCAACCAATTTATTCGCATGTCGCCGGTGTTACGCTTACTACGTGGGGCACACGATGGGCACCGTCACCGGTGACGACAAAAACTGGCGTTTTCAGTCTTAACTGCTTTGTTCCGTTGGCCTATACTAGGAGGGAGTTGCGGGGGGGGGTCAATTCTTTGTCGTCTTACGTCAGCTGACCTCTGCGGTTACTTTTTTGGAGCTCGTATAAGAAGGCAAAGCAGTCAAAGAGACTACTGTGTGTGAGGACCTATACCACAATTGAGTGAGTTAGCAGTCAATGCTGTATTTTTCGGCAAACGAATCGACAGCCGATCATGGGATAATATCGTAAATTTATTCAGAAACTTTAAAACGCAGCAAAATATGGCACATAATGATATTTATTGAGCAATTCTGGTTCATAGAATAGTGCCCGTTCGTCTTCAATCCCAGTTCTTCTTTCTCTCGTATTCTGTAACAGGAGTTCAACCGACAAGCTCCAGCAGTTTGTTCAGTTTCTCAATTTCTGCCTCGACCGGGTCAATCGTTTCCAAGCCCTTCTTCTCCTACAAGGGATTCACGTAATAGGTAATTAATATAAAGCCATAAGTGCAGAGGAGTTGTATCATTTAATCAAAAAGTTGCTCTACCTATTTGCCTGAGTAACCGCCACTTCTACATCGAATTTGAAGCGTAGGGATTGTCACGATCTAGAAAAGTGCTCTCTCGTAGTTTTTGGAGCATGGATTTCGGCTACCAGTGTCAATCAGCGACGTAATTCCGTGTAGTGCCATGGACGAATTCGGTCCGTCCATTACAGATAGGCGATTTTCACTTCTGCACGCTCGTTTCGCAACAAGAAGTGACGTGGAGGCGGCCATCAGGGGAACTTTACTGACCGCGCGACCGACGCTCACTTATCTATCCCAATTTGTAGCAGTTGTAGTAGTAGCAGTAATATTAGTTTACCCGTTGTCAGTATGGTAAATAACTACACAATCGTGCTCTACTGGCTGCCTGTTGGCGGTTTATGAATATTGACGCGGTTATTCCGTAGTAGTTGATGGATTTCAGTTCAAATATTCATATAAAATTCCAGACTGCGCTTGAATAGATCTGTTTCGAAGAATTTACTCCAAGTTCGCGCGTTAATCCACTCGGAAATTAAACAAGACAAGTAGTTTATTTGTTGTAATTGATGATGGGTGGCTTTACCGGACCGTATGTGTCGTCCGTGTGGTGGACTTCCTTGGTGGTTGGTGTTGTGGTGTATCCATGTGTGACCGACGAGTCCGCTGCACCCATAAGTGTAAGTTGACACAGGGGGCGGCATGTTACAATGTCTTATTCTGACTGGAAACCAACATCGCTGCCGTTTTGGATCTACATAGAGCTCTATTAGGTGGAACAGTCGCAGGCATGGAGTTTTGGAAGACGAGTAAACTTAAACAGCGGACGTGAGAAACGCGCGTTGACCTACGTTTTGCAACTTCCCATCGAAAACCCCATTCATTGTGTCCCTCGTCAAGGGATGCTTTTGCAGAGCTCTGTGATCTGGGGATGCTTGTTGCCTTAGGTCTTTGGACCAACTGAGTCCTGGCTCAAACCTCAATTTTTTCCTCACCACCACCACCACCACCACCACCACCACCACCACCACCACCACCACCTTCCCGTCTTCTTTATCTTATTGTTGTCCTGAGAATATAACACTTGCGTCCTTACGTTCAAACGGACTTTGGCAGGTGGAGTGGCCCTCTTAGCGTCGATTTCTGATCGATCGTTGATTTAGGTACGCGCAGGAGAGATCAAAATCAGAGTAGGTCTGTGATCAGTCGTGCAATCTCGTCGACTTTGGTAAACACTTGTCAAGCCTAACAGCAGACCTAAAAGGGCAACCCGAGTACGTCAGTGCACGAGGGGATACGGTTGCTTAGCAACCAAAAACCTTGGTATGTGGACGTGCACGTAGGCGCTACTCATGTTAATTAGACCATTCTTACTTGCAAGAACGCGCCTCATATGGCCACAGCCGTGGCGGCGGCTGTAAAGCATATGGTTAGACAGAACGAGTGCCTCCAACCACCACTCAACCCTATGCACATAGAGGAAAGCAAAGGCGCGACTAAATTTAGGTTTTCTGGTCTGCCTAAAAGCTCTAAACTGCAGGCCGCCCCCGCGCTCGTTCAAAAATACAGACTGCTATTTCAGCCTTGACTGTTATAAGTCAATCAACAACCCATGTATGCGATTGGTGGCTCAAATGATTATTTTCGGCAGTTTACACGATCTATCCATTCTTTAGCGTTTGTCCTAAGTAAGTCGTTGACTCAGGCGACCGATGATCCGACCAACAGTTCACTGTAGTTAGCAGTGTTGGTCAGGTATGCCTTTGGGACTGAATTGACGCATTTTGCCGATCTCATAAGGGCCATGTCTGGGTGTCGCCGTGAGTTTTGCATGGAAGGGTCACGTTTTCAGTTTCAGAGTGCACCCGAAATGTCCGACTAAGTGGGATCAGGTCACTAACTATACGTCCAATACAATTATCGTTACCTTACTACAACCACGCGGGGTATGGATTTTGACTATCAGTGTCAATCGGCGACGTCCTAATTCAGTGTAAGCCATGCATAACATGATTATGCTGAATTTTACAGCCAAATCGCAATGTTCATTCCCACCAGTCAGTTACTACTTCGTAGATAGCCTTGACGAAGATGCTCGTGACTAGGACCGGCCGGCTCGAGATTGAACCCCAAGGCAGAGGGCAACGAGCATGTCTTGTAACTGGATCAGTTCACACACCTTCCTACAATAACACATATATAGACATATGCAGACCGAGATAACCGATAAAGGCAAGTGAGATTGGAATGGCTATTTTTGTCCGGCTAGTCGTCATCAACCAGAAATTGCCATCCAAATCCCCCTTCTCCTTGTCTGTCATCTCGTTCTGCATATATCTATATATGGGTTACGGTAGGCAGGTGCGTTTATTCCCTGCCTTGGGGCAGACCCCCTCGAACCGGCTATCTAGGAAGTAGCGACCGACTGAACATTGCGACTAGATGCGGAGCTCCAAATCGAGCCCAAAGGCACGACGGATAGAAATTTTATAGAAGATACGCACAAAATATGCCTTCTTTTGTTCACTTTGTAGCACATTATGCCTTCTATAAACATTAAACTGGAAAAGTGGTATCTCCCTGTGTTAAAGTAGCTTTTACAACTTTCGGATATTTGTACACTTGCACTTAGGGTTTAGAAACGCCCCGCAATCGATGTGGACTGTGTTGTTTACTTCGAAAGTGGCGTTGATAAATGGAACGATAAGATACTGAATAAATTAACATTTCAGTCCTAAGAATTTCCATAATTAGAAACCTTCTCAGAACCGAAATATGCCCCTTCTTCAAATACAAAACTCGAAGAAAACATGATTTCTTTCTGAACGAGTACAATAAGGGATATTCCTATGCATGTTTTCTATAAATTGTATTTGAATTCATACGGGCATTGAAAATAAATTACAAAAAATCTTGCTAGTTAAGTGTGGTTTTTGCAGGCGGCCAGAAAGAAACTCGTCCAGAAAATGTTATTCTGACATGGCTGAAATATCTCGAGATTGTTCTGTGTGATAATCAGCATTACAAAGCACTCTAAGTAATCCCTCCTAATCGAAAACGTCTTTCAGACTTTCAGCAAACATTTCATGAGACTGACTAGCCACTGTATGTATATATCAGAGGGGAGCTAACAGAGTCTGGGGAGTTGATTGATATAGAACCGTTTTGGGCTTGTTTGCCTTCATTCAGCCAACCATAACCCTAACCAGCAGCCGAGACCAGAAACACAAACATGCGCACAGACACACCTTGTGCAGTTGGTCCACCACTGGGGTTTACCAGATGGGTCATAAGCACTTCATTAAACCGAAGTTCATCAGGGCCTCGCCACCTGTCTTTCTCTATCGCTGCAGATCGGGTATTTATTCAGTCAGGAATGGGCGCACACCGATCTACTGGCTTCAAGAAGCAAACAAGCTCTGTATGGCCGGAGCCTGAGCCACTATGCGTCAATGTTATCTCGTTATCCTCTCAGCATTGGCTGCTCTCGCTTCCATTGGTCCCTGAGAAATTTGTAGGCGGCATCTAAATTGATATGGTGATTGATGCATGCCTCGTCTGAGGGCATTGCCTCCATGGAATTCGCGGTCTTTCCTTATTGGGCAGTCGCCAACAATGCAAATGTTCGTCCATACAGATTCGTCTCGAGTGACCAGTGTGTGCACAACCACCTGGAACAGATGATCTCGTCTTCTCACCGCCAACTAATGTTCATGTATACGGATTGAGACAGATTTCCCTGTTGGGCCGCAACAGACGGCATCCCAATTAGCAACAAAAGTGGGCTGAATGCATGCAGTACATGAAATAACTACGCAACCACTGCCCACTCGCTTCCGCCTGCGTCCACAGCTGTCTGGCTTACTCACCTTATATAGTTCCCATTCTTCTGGTGTGATGAGTAAGTATGGATGGAAAAGTCGTCTTTTGAGAACTACGCACCCTTGACCACAACAGCACTCCCTATAAGAAAGCCTGACCTGGTCGTGGTCTGATCTATAACCGCATCCTCTGGTGTTAATTCAACCCTGTCAGGAATGACGAACAACCTCATGTCTGTGAATGGTTTCGGCTATGGCACTACTATCCATCTCTCTTAGGTGGGATCTGTCCAGTCGAGCTTGCGCAATCTGGAAATGCCAACAATTCGCTGAAAATGGCTGTGTTCGTACGGGCACATAGCGGGTGGGGCAATTACTTGTGTGGATCGGTCTCCAGAGAAATTTAAGAAAAAACGACAATCCTCGGAAGGACAAGGGCCGGTTTAGTCGTATCCCGAGTTTCACAAAATCGTGAACTCAAGCTAATTTGCAGACCAAGTAAGACCAAAAAATCAAAGCAATGCAATGTCTTTACCTTTGGCTTCTTACGAAGATTCGGAGACAGTTTCACAGACGTTATCTGGCCCCTGAAATTTAGCAGAAAAGCGAATTAGTGAAATTGAAGTGTGAAGTAAACGGAAGTCACAGATAAGCACGTTTCTGATATCACCTTCTCCAAACCGTGAGCAAGGACTTTGTGCTTGCTGCATTATGTACGTCTAATTGCAGTTGTGCATAAGTACGAAATATCAGACACCACTCTCTTCAGATATCCGTTGCTCTCCACAGTCGAGTCTCGGGGGTGCAACTGTGAATGGGAATACCGCCGGTCGTTGGCGCCAAATAAGCGATAAAAAATCATTCAAGTATCCTCAATAACTGATTGTAGTCGTCATGCTACCGGATGTGTGGGGGATGTAGAGTCTGGACTCAATGGCATGGCGGTAATGCTCATTTTCGTCCATTGGTCAAGACAGGTTGGCGCAAACTGCTCTTCTGTGGCTGAATGTCCCCCTCCGGTCTCAGTTGACATGACGCGTGCCCGTTAGTGCGCAGTGGTGAGAAGACTGCTCAATAAGCAGCCAAATGAGATTCGAACATCAGGCGTACGATCTGGGACTGGCCACTGACGGTGACTGAGTCAGTAATGGTCATTTCATGTCCCACTGTTCATGCCGCAAGACTCCCGGATTACACCTTTTATTCCAAGCACAATTTTGAATACAACCGAGTTGCTCGGATCTCCGGACATTTACTTTTGTCAGATTTTACCGAAAAACTTTCGCTTTCGAACATGCCATCTCTTATTGCTGCATCCGGCTAGGCCCTGAGATTTATTTACTTGATTAGAGTTAAAATCGGAGCACCTCGATTTGCTTCGCTGTGTGGTGGAATAAGTAGAGGCGACACTGAAAACGGCTAACGATCTAATGATGTTGGCAAGAGGTATCTTTAACGCGATTTCCAGAAGTAGCTGTCGGCCGGCAATACCTAATTCTAGGTTCGAATAACCCGGGATTCAAATGCAAGCACTTTTTGTGAGGAGCTCGACCACTGTCATTTTGAACGGACCCAGACGCCGGGATGCTGGATGAACTTGAAAAAAAGTCAGGATGTTTAAATCTGGCAGGGTGTTCATGAACTAGGTATACTAGAGAGAGTGAACTGTGAAAAGCGGGATTGCGTCAAGCTGCAATCCCGACGCAGAGATAACAGTCCCCTGTCATTTATGCCCGTCTTCCCAGAAAAGTGGACTGATTCGAATATAGCCGGGTAGGTTTGCAGCAAACACACGAGAGACTACATCGTCGGTCTCTCCGGCGCTGTCTCCAGGATCTCTAAGCAGTTCAAGAACCTCTCACGAGGTGTGAATCACCAGAGAGATCCGGCCAGTCCAATCCATCCAAAGTGACCGCCGTGAGTGTTGGAATAACAGCAAAAACGGTTAGCTTTCAACTAGCCTTACCCGAGAACGACTTTTTGAGCAAAGCGTGCCGCCTTCCTTTCGGATGCAGCTGGTCTCACTCGTTGAACCCGAACAGCAGTATGATTTAACCTGTTTTTTTTCATATCTCACGCCGGGTTACGAGGGTCAGGGTTAGGATTCAAGTCAGGACACGGGAATAGGTGCCTCTGGAATTTAGTGCGAAAGCACCTACAATGCGAGGGTCAGTATGCCCTTGTCTGACTGCCCCACATAACCGGCTTTAAGTTATGGCGTCGGGATGACCCCTGTTTAGCAAAGAAAGCCAAGAACTATAATACATAGAATCGACGAGAACTGGCACAAATCTCTGAAGTGAAGACGGGTATAGTTGAGTCGTGTTCGGCCACTGTCATCGGGCAACCGGCCACGCCGGGTTGTGCTGGACCAATACGAGGGCCAGACCAGCAGTTCTGGACTGCGTGCCCATAACAAACCCGATGGCACGCCCAGGCGCACGTTCATGTCACCTCAGCAACCTGCATCCGATCCAGCGTTCGATCAATGAGCCACAAGGGCGAGCCACATACAACAGCTGGACTAGAGTTTCGCTTTAGAGAAAACGAGGGTGATTGGCCGAGCCATTGAGAAGATGGTCGGACTGGTGTTCGAAAGTTGCTCCTCGACTGGCACAATAAAACAAGCTACTGACCTGCGTCTCGCCTATCTGATATTACGCACAAGGTTCGGATCAGTTCGGACAGATCCACTAGGGTAGGCGAACATGGGAAATCCAGAGCCGACGTTCACGGAGCAGAGCAGGGGGAGGGGGGTGACAGCCAGAGGTCACGTGACCCACCGATGCGCTCACGAGGCTGAAAGCAACTCACACGAACAGCAACAGCCGATCAGTCCGCCGGCTGACGTGAGGAAGGTCAACAGGCACGCTGACTCGGCTACAACTAAGCCGGTCCCAAAGGGGACAAAGGTCACGCGGGCAGGGATCAGTGCGCCGATGTCGCAGGTGTTGTGGTTCGCCATGTCTCGGAAAGGGGCTGGTGAGGCAATGAGACCCCACATGGCCTAACATAGATTAGCGGCTGTTATTAGGGCGTGGATGCAAGTCAGTGGGCCGTGTGGCCAGACTTACTGAGCTACTGATGCTTGACGTCTTAGAGTGCCATTCCTTGAGGAATTTTGCGGCTGTTTGGTGTTAGCCCTGACGATCACTTTATCACCGCCCAAAATGGAAACGATGATCACAGTCAAGAGCGTACGCAAACACGAATGACAAGGGGTCACGTCGGTGAATGGCTGGTTTATGTTCGTTGATGCGAGTACCAAGACCTCGGCTTGTGTGGCCAACGTAAACACAAGGGCAGTTGGCGCACGGGATGCGGTAAGTAGCATCGCTCAATAGATATGCGGTCCTTTACTCGACATAATGCTAAGCATAGGGAGGATGCGGACTCGTAAGCGATGGGAATGTCAAGGTGATTTAGTTATCGGGAAGTTGCTTCAGAAATTCCTAGCATGTAAGGCAGAGAATAAAATTTTCCCGTTATTGTTCCTCCACTATAAACGAGGCTTTGTGGTGTTCTCTGAGGTCTGAGACAATTTTGCGCAAAGATCGTGGAATATCCATTGGGCCGGACTAGCCGATGTAAATACGCTAGTTCTTTCTTATGTAGGTTGTCGACGCTGCTTTGACGGAAGGCCCGATGGAGAAGAATCCTGACGCAGCTTCGTTTATGGGCTGCAGGGTGGTTGCTTTCATAGTTAAGGATGATTTGTGCATAAGACTCTTTTCGGTGGACGTACTTTGGGAGTCTGCTGTCACCAAGTCTTTGTATACTCACTTCTGGAAGCGGGGGGTAATTGCCGCAGCTTCTTTGCGAGTAAATCATATAGGTCTAGTTCCGCAAGTAGTTTCGCTATTGGCGAGCTTATAGTATCTAAGCGATGAGAGTTTACTCAGAGCGCTACAAATCATCATGTCAAGTTTAGAATTGTAGAAAAAACCAGAAGCCACCAGAACGAGGGGTTTATAGTGTACAGAACTTCAGGTGACAGTGGCTGCTGGCGAAACCGGAGCGTCCAGTCATGCCTGCGAGTTCGTGGTACAGTGGTGGCAGACGCCTTTGTAGGTTTGTGGGACAATCAGAAATGGTGTCCAATTGGTGTGTGTTGATTTGTCGAGAGGTGGTGCTCAACTGAGACGGGGTTCTAATTCCCTTGTCCTGCCGTTTCAAGCATTATTTGCATAAGGGATTCGTCATTTCGTGGCGTCATTTTGGGGTTTAACCAGCATGTGCATTACTCTGAGCGCTACAATCGCCAGGCCAGTTGCAGGAAAAGACAGAAGTCAGCAGAAGGAGGGTTTATTGTATACAAAAATACGGATTGTCCTCTCAGGCGGCAGTCACAGCTGGTGAAGCCAGGGATGGTATTGACTACTTGTATTTGATACGGCTGCGATCATGCCTGATCTAGCCGGCCTCGATGATGTCCCGAATTGTACCTCTCCACGTGCGCGACGATCCGCGGCAGCAGATCTGGACAGCTCAACCCATTCCCTTCGCCAACGACGTAGACCGAATACCGAAGGTCCAAGAATCCCCTCCATGTCTTGACGAACTGTGTCGAGCCAGATTTTGAACTGACCCCTCTTCGACGCCTCCAATGGGGCAACGGTACCGGATCGAGGGCAGTAACACTGAACTCCTGAGATGGACGACGAAGAACATGCCCGAACCATCTCAGCCGTCTTTCTTGGATGGCCTGAACTATCCTTGCGATGTTGTCGCAGCGAGCGCGGACTGGCGCATTGGAGACGAAGTCGGTGAACTTCACTCGAGGGATGGTCCTCAAGCAGTGGTGGTCAAATACCTCCAGTTTTCGCTTGTCCTCCACGCGCACAGCCCAGCATTCACAACCGTAGATAAGGACAGACCGGGCAGATGCACGGTATACGCGAATCTTAGTGGCGATGGAGAGGTCACGTCGGTTCCATAGGCATTTCCGAAGGCTTGAGAAAACCCAGCGGTATTGACTGCGTCCACTCGGGCCTGAGAGCCCCCTGAGACGGTGGTGGCAGCCGCTTTTGTAGGTTCGTGAGCCAAGCTCGAGTGGTCTCCAGTCGGTATGTGTTGTGCTCGCAGGCGGGGGGTGTCGTGTTCAAGTGGCGCACGGACAGCTGCGACCCCGTGGACGCACTTACGTCTGAGTTGAAGTCGGTCAGCGCGGCTGGAAGCGCTCGCTGCGAAGGTGAATGACCTTGGCGCAACGGGACCTTGAGCAAGGACGCCAGACGTAGCCATGAGGGCTGTCCACAACAGGCCCTTCCGAGAATCCAGCAAACAGAGTAGTTGAACAGAATGGGCAACAGGATGCAGCCCTGTGGAACACCAGAGCGGATATCGAACGATCGGGAGAGATTGCTATTGACAAGAAATCGGGCAGTGGTGGGGTAAAAGTAGGTCTTGATGATAACGATTACTTTTGTCGAAACACCATCTAATCCCACTATTTGCGACAGGAACTCAAGATGGATGAATCAAACGCATGGATGAAGTCATCATATTGTCTGAATTGTCCGCTCCCAACTGCAAAGTCCGACTCGAGTGCTACTCGCCTGCACCACCGAATGAAGGTTGAGGGCACGCCTGTTCCCGCAGACGCATCCAGTCATGCCTGCGAGTTCGTGCGACAGTGGTGGCAGACGCTTTTGCAGATTTGTGGAGGAAGCTCAAATAGTTCCAACTCTTGTGTACTTTTTCCGAGGGATGGTAGTTAAGTGGCCAATGTTGTATTCGCAGGCGGGGGGGGGAGGTGGTGTGGTCAAGTGACGCGTGGGCAGCTGCGACTCTGTGGACGCACGTGTGTCCGGGTTGAGGTCGGTCGAGTGACCGCAGATCAGCGTCTCTGGAACCGCTCGCTGGGGGGGGGAGGCGGATGACCTTGGGGCAACGGGGCCTCAAAGAAGGACGCCAGACATGGCCATGATGACTGTTGGTAACAAGCCCATTGGGGTGACCCTAGCTTGTTGGTAGTACTTGTCACCAAATAGATCATAGGCCCTTAGGCAGAGTTTAAGCATGTCCAAAACATGCTGCGTTAAAATGCCAGTAGGACTTTCCTTTAGGCGTCAAGCTATGTCCTCAGTAACCAAGTTATTCGGTATTGAGGAAGACAGTCGTCTCTTTGTAGCTGCCTGTCCTGTCATGTCGATCGATCTGTTCTGACAACCCCACTTTCTCCTCTGTTCGTTTAATCTGACGGGGGGTTGGCATCACCAACTTGAAAATTGACAAGTACAACTCGAGTTTTCGAATAGCTTTCTCTTTTCATCACACATATATATATATGTAAACAGTTCGTCAAGAAGGCAACAGGCCAGACGAAGACAGCCGTTTCACGGTCGTTGCCGATCATCAGCACGCCATGGGCCTGATGAAGTGAGGTATACAAACATGTCAAGTAAGCGTGTGACCCTCACTGTTGTGGTTGGGATCTCACTCTCTGCCTGCGGCCTTCGAAGCATTTTTATCCCCGCCAACAGCCCGGACCTAAATCCCATCGAAACGCTTTTTGCACTAATCAAAAGAAATTGGGACAAGGCAAGGAAACATATTTCTATGGGACAGAAGTTGGCATTTTTGCTTAATAATTACATAGACCAAACCACCATAGACAACTTGGTAGTCTCCACGCCCTCCCGCCTTACAGCAACTTTAAAAGCTAAAGGACAATCAACAAAGTACTAACACGTTGTATTTGTTACTGTTTTTCATTTTTTTGTCGTTTTGGGAAATTTCCCTCCTCTGATGACAGTTATATTAAACCCTGAATAGTTAGCCTGTCATACAGTCAATTTTTTGATTTGGTGGTTCTTCTTAAAATAAGGTATTTCTTAGTCAATAAATAATACTTTATAAACCAAACCATGCCTTGTTTTGAAGCCCGGTCGTATATTTAACGCCGTATAACTTTCGTCGATGCGGGGTGGCAGTATCGTGCGCTACAACGATTTAAATTCACAATTCGTGACATTTCATCAGATAGGTCACGAAGTGTACATACCTTAGGCGTTGGTTTGGTACGTCCTATAAAAGTAATAAGGGCAGAACGCACGCTTTCAGGCGGCACCGTCACAGAACGCGCGTAACGGACCGTTTCCAACTAAAGATTCATATTTGGCCAACTATGTCCCTAAAACAGCGTGCGAGTTAAAGATGGACTGCCCTATTACGACCAGACGAGTCACTGTGTGACCTTGAAGCCTTGAAGTTGATTGTACGCACGTCTCAGGCGTTGCTGCCAACTGAGGGAGGTATGCCATTCCGAGGCAAGACAGACGTAGAGGAAGAAATAAGCAACCGTCAACGAGTCAAAAAGCCCCCGATGTCAGTACTTGAGACTGGGAATAGGTTAACACGACTTTTGGTAACGTTATGGACTCATAGTAAGCCAAAAAACTCGACAGGCATTCCATCTTATCCGAACCGTGGGCTCCAATTCACCGCCCTTGACCTTGACTGGCTGGTCTGAGTACACATAAACCTGCACCGGACATTGCCACGTTCCGGACAGGTAGATTTCGTGTGCTTTGAGAAACAAGTCATGCTTTATTGATAACTGACTAGCGGCTGGCTATAGATGGCGGAGCGTCCATATGTTTGGATCGCACACAAACGGTTGCACCCTTTCCGCTTTGACGGGAAGTGACGGTTTGTGAAGGCCGTTACTTAGACTCAACACATTCGAACAAAGATGTACAGTACGTGACCTATCTCATGAAATCTGATAACGGAAACAGATGAGAGAATTTCTGGACGCCTTTAACGTTGCGCATTTCGTTCGTTTATCCACATCCTTCAATGAAATGTCCTTTTCTTGTGCAGAAATTGTGTTTTCGTAATTAAATCAAGTAAAATGTCAGTACGTTTTAGCAAAACTGGACGTTGGAATATATTTGTGCAACTTCATATGCTAATACATGTCCTAGGCTCCGGTTACACATCTGAACGACTTTTTCATTGAAAGGATAGTAATTTACCCACGAGAGTTTTAATAAACAGATTTTGCCGAACGTGAAAATTCATTTTATGTCCGATGTTAACCGTTTTTGATATGAGAATACATTTCATGCATCTGAAAACGATGTTTACTAAATTAGAGCCATTTCTGACGTTTTCGGGATGTTGCGCTTTTCTAAAATAAACCAGCATTTCTAAACGACGCAACACAGTCTTTAGTGTTTATTTTATGTTTTTAATTTTTTAAAACATGCACTTAATCAACATAGACATTGGACTCATAAAATGGTGTCGATTTGCGATTAATTGGCAATCATTCGTAAACTTCGACACATTTAATGAGTTAGGTCACTAACTGTAATTGTCTTTTTCAGAAGTGTGGACATCATGCGTCAAATCCTCGTTAGTTAGAAATGTAGTCAGAAGCATCTGTGACTCCCCCTGTCTTTCATTCTGACATCTCCTTTCTGGTTGTCTATCTAAGATGCGAGTGACATGGAGAGGGACAGCTTCTGCTATCACGACTACGACCAGCTGAAAGCTGCTAAGCATTCGCCACTTTTCTGAGAGAAAAGCCAGTACTTTGATTGGCACTGAAAGTCGTGATCATGGTGTCTCTCCGTTTGTACGCTTCTGGGCGTGGCAGCCCTTAAGTGGGGATAAGCGCAATACTGGACGTAGTAGTATTAGTAGTGGTAGTAGGAGCGGTATTATTGGTAGTACTATTAGTAGGAGTGTTATTATTATCACTGCTAGTAGTAGTAGTAATAGTAGTAGTAGTAGTAGTAGTAGTAGTAGTAGTAGTAGTAGTAGTGGTAGTAGTAGTAGTAGTAGTAGTAGTAATATTGGGAGGACATGAACAAAAGGGGGAGAAGAATGAACTTGACGTACCGGTCATCGCCACATATGAGGATTGGGTAGATGGGGTTGAAAGCGATATGGGTGAGTTTAGTGCGTCTCTTTTGAACAACCAGCTGTTTGCACAGAGCCTCGTACTTGTTAATATTCAGGTCGTAGACGTGAACGTATCCATCGGAGGTGACCGCTGCAAACACCGTGGAAGAATAGGGAGCCCAGGTAACGTCACCGACCGGCGCGCCCAAATCGAACATGAACACCGGTTTCCTGGACGGTGAATGAGAGAGAAACAGTAGGGGAGTAGGCAACCAATAAGAACGCAGTAGCGCCTGCCCACTCATGCAAAACAACAATCGGCTGAATGAACTGAATCATTGTAACATGGGAAGTTTGGCAAGCGCGTACTTTTTCCCATTGTGGGAACGGAGAATACTAACCGCTTACACACTGGACAGGGTGAAACAATACGAATTTCGGATGTACAGTGGCTGTTGAAGGTCACACAGTAAGAAGTAAACTGAGCAATCGATTAAACTAACCAATGGGCTGCTTCCTTATATTCATACAATAGGAATCTGACAGTTGGCGAAATTTCAGTACCAACGCAGAAGATTTGCGTACCTAATAAAAACTCGCTGGATTTCGCACCGAAATGAGGGTAGAAAGCTGCTGTGATGGGCAAAGAGTCGAATTGGCTTTGTGATTTTAGAATCAATTTTGGGAAAGTTAGGTGTATTGATCAGGTGTGGTTATATAGCCCCATCTGAAGTAAACAAACCCCAGCCACCTCTAATATGGGACCGGTGGCAATAGGGTTTTTTACAGATGGGGTCGCGGAACGCGCAGGCGACGAGGTCAAGTAGTTGGATGCGAAAGTAAAGGTATTGGGAATACGCGGTTGTGTTTTGGGTGCTTGAGAAATAGTTGCCATAACCCCTAACTCCAACCTCTAACCTTAACCGCTAACCCTAGGCCCCAAGCCCTAACTCTAGCTCTAACCCCTAAGCCCTCACTCACTCTGAAAGTTAGAAGGGACGACAGCCCGAAAATCAAGAACATTACAAAGTTAAGTTGGCCTGATAAACAGCTAATCGACTTTAGATTGATTGGTAAGGAAATCCTGTTTCGGCTGTCAGCTTACAGAATCAGAATTTAGAAGTCAATTTGACAAACGCGTGTTTTCGATATTTTATCATCAGGCCTATGCAGTTGCATAGAAAATGAAACTACGAAAATTTGACAGGGTTTATGAGCGTCCCAGGAGTTATTAACACTCATCTCTCCCAAGCCACCCCCATGACGAGGTCGGCGTGTTGTGGTCACTCGGTCACTCCATACATGATGACTACTCAGGAAGTAAAGTTTTTTGTTGATTCCCAATGTCTTTGTCTATTAGAACATATGTTATGAGAAGCATTCACAAAAATATCCTGCCCTGCATTCATTTGGTAGTAAATTACGTCTTCATCCAATTTTACATCGCAATAAATTATAACAGCTATCTTAAAAAGTTTGTAATTATGGAAGTTTAAAGACCGCAAAATGCCTGTTCAAATGGCATTCTATATGTACGTTTGCAAAAGATCCTGGTTAGATTTGGTTATGTGGCCTCACCTGAAGTAAATTAACCCCAGTCACCTCTGACATGGAACCGGTGGTAATACGGGTTATTACAGGTGGGGCCGGGGAACGCACAGACGACGAGGTCAAATAGTTGTATGCAAAAGAAAAACTATTGGGAGTGCGTGGTTGCACTTTAAATGGTTGAGAAATAGTTTCCCTAGCCCCTAACACTAACTCCAACCCCAGCAGTAATGCATTTATCAAGTGGGGTTCCAAAACCACATCTTACCGGTGAATTTTTGAGGGTAAATCTTTGCAACTTTCCATGTTCACGCTTGCAAAAAAATGACGCAGGTTGTGCCTTCCGATCTGACGCGCCACCCTAGAGGATAGTATGCCGACAACGGCGATGAGGACTGGGACTGCCGTTTCGGGTTCAGCCGACGTCGTCTGTCAGCCATACCCGGCCCAGGGTCTGGATAACATTTGATCAGAACCCGGTTAATGTGGTCATTGATCATTTTCTAGTCGGATGCTCTACCATTGGACCATGGATCCGTTGTCTTTTTTCGGTTCAGATCGGAAATATTGACTATGGTGGAAATGTGTTCACCGATCAGGTCGCGGAATTTGCTCGACGTTAGCCAGCGACGGCTAATAAGTCAGATATGGCTGTTCTAACCTACCTAGTATTTTTCGATGTGCCCTCCTCTGAATGCATTAGCAATTGCTATGCGACTGCCATGTGGGGGGGGATTCTAGATTGAGCTCCAAGACAACGAGACGAGCAATTCCCGCAGCCCGATTTGTGAATGTAATTTCAACATGTAAAACTTTGAATTTGGGTATAAGACGGAATATTACAGTTCGATCGTTGCTAGTGACAAGGTCAACCATGTGCCCCGCAGGGACGGTGACGTGTGCATGAATTAGTTGGACTTGCTCTGTATCCAACGCAATCTCTCCTCCTCCCCATCCACCTGAGCCTGGCGTCAGGGGAGAGTCAAGAAGACCGGGGGGCGTTAGAGGGCGCAGGTAGTTTGTGTGACGAAAACCCAGACCTAGGCATACCACCACATCCCCTGGCCGACAACTCACAACCGGCGAGGATTTTACACAACAAGAAAAGGGGAGGGGAATGGTACGGATTCCACCCGATTGGAAGTACCAGAAACGCCACATTAAGAAAGAACCATTGCAGCCTGATTCTCCGTCTTGAGAGGAGGAGCGAGTTATCTACTCACGGCTAATATGACCGAGAAGTGTGCAAAGGCCGGTTGTGGGCTGGTCTTGAGCAACCGGAGATCTAAAGTTCCCCAAATTTGACCTCGTTTTTACTTCACTGTAAGTGAAGAGCAGGCAATTTCTAGCCGCTGTTTTACCCCACACGATAATTGCCTAAGTAAAGATGAGCAACATATAGAATAGATATTTACTAACGTGAAGACAGCAATATATGTATGTATATGTTTTTACCGACAAAGACAAGGGAGACTGAAATGACCATTTCTGGCTTAGTAGCCATCGTCAGCCAGTCATAGCCACCCCCGGATTGCAGAACACCCGAGGCTCGAATTCGCGATTTGCTAGTTAGAAGTCCACGCCTCCAACCACTGGGTCCCGGGCCCGTTGTCCTGTTCTATATATACATATATTGCTGATAGAAGCGAAAATGCTCGTCCCGGACATAAATGAGAAGAACAGGCGATCTCGGGAACCATAGTTATATTGCCCTGACGTTTCAGAAGCAAACAAGCTTTCATCGTTTGAGGTGAGTGTTGTACCGCGCCTCACAGTATTTATAGGCGGTAACAATCTTGTTACAATGGGTTTACGTCTATTCTGTCCGTCGTTCAGACGCTAGTTGCCATCGCACGTATTTGCATTGACCTTAGCTCTTGTCCTAGGCTGGCAATCTTCTTTGCCACCGCGCAGCCACTTGTGTTCTCACCTGCCGCATGAGTTGCAGTGACGATAGCACCTTCATCGGGTCCGTTAGCGTTACTGCGATCGTTCGTCTTCACACCTGTCGGATAAGTGGACGACGCGGCTGTAGTGACGATCGCACCTTCGTAAGATTCAGGCTATAGTACAGCTGCGCGTGTGTCCCCCATGGACTCGGCCCTATTTGGGTTTCTGTCTTGTCGTAGCCTGCCTCTGCTCTTCCGTTCGCTGAGCTGCGTCCGGAGGGCTTAGTAAGCTTCGGGAAGCGCTACTCATCGGTTGATAGAGTTCGCGTCAGTGTGCCAGGCCTCGACTATTTCCCTGGTGATACGGTCATTTTCCCGGCCTAGGATTTCAGCATTCTGGAAGGCGAACGTATTTTCAGAGTTTGCGCAAGACAGAAACTATTGTTCCCGCCTCTTCTTCTCATATATATGCATATATATAATGATAGGGGGCGCTCACCGATCGTTCTTACGGGACTCACTAGTTCCGTTGTGCCCTACGAGCTCTCTCTCGAACCCAAACAGCAGCCGCACAGCGGCGCATGACATAGGCAGTATGTTATTACCGACAATGACAAGGGAGACTGGAATGGTCATTTCTGGCTTATTAGCCGTCATCAGTCAGTCATACCCAATCCCGAAGTGTGGAATACCCGAGGCTCGAGCTCGCGACCTGTTAGTTAGAAGTCCAACGCCTCTAACCACTGGGCCACGGGCCTGTTGTCCTGTCGGTTTCGATCGGAAATATACAATGGTAGGGGACGCTCAACGGGCCCGTGGCCAGTGGTTAGAGGCGTTGGACTTCTAACTAACAGGTCGCGAGTTCGAGCCTCGGGTGTTCCATACTTCGGGGTTGGGCATGACTGGCTGACGACGGCTAATAAGCCAGAAATGACCATTCAAGTCTCCCTTGTCTTTGTCGGTAATAACATACTGCATATATATACATATGTATGAAGCGAATAATTTCAGAAATTATTCAGTGCAGGACACGGAGTTAAGTCCCCGGGACATGACCTTTTAGGGTCAGACCCGAAATTTCAGTGGACATTCGAGTCGAAGACAATCAACTACTGCGGAATGACAACGCAATGTCCATTGTACAAACGAGCAATACTACGGGTAGTATGAAATGTATATGGCAAACGTATTATACCGTATTCCCGACATAGGTACTAACTACATAATAAGTTTGTCGTATACATTCCATACTACGCGCGGTACTATTTGTTTGTAGAATAGGCATTACGTGGTTACTCCACAGTAGTTGACTGTCTTCGACTCGAATTTTCATTAAAATTTTGGGTCTGGACCTAGAAAGTCATGTCCCCGAGACTTAACTCCATGTCCTGCTCTGAATAATTTCTGAAATTATTCGTTTGATTATTTTCTGGAGTTCACAAACCAGAAACCGCATAGAGGGCGCTGGGGGATCCACGGGGGAGCTGGACTCCTCGCAGCTGTGTCACGCAGCGGCAGAATATCGGCGAAACACGTGTCTGGGCTTTTAGTTAGTACCTATGTCGGCAGTACGGTATAATAAGTTTGCCATTTACATACATGAAGAGTAGAGGTGGTGTGCATTCCGAGAGATATAATGAAAAAGGAAGAGACTCTTCGGAAAACGTCGAGTTGTACTCGTCAATTTTCAAGTTGGTGACACCAACCCGTCGTCAGACGAAATGAAAATAAAGGGGGAAGTGAGACAGTCACACTAGACTAGTTGATGCGATAGGACAGACATTGATGGGCGGGCCATTAGCGTGTGAGAAAGGGGATGTGGGCAGAGGGTCACGGTTGGTTCTGAGCCGGGAGGAGAGGGGGGATGACGAAAACAGTTACGGTAGCCCGTATTGGAGGGGAAGGAAGAATGGTAGGTTAGTGGAACTGCGGGCGGTTGGGTTAGCTGCCGTTGATGTGGCTTGGGGCACGACTCATTGAGCCGTAATCGTAGGCCCTCATAATGGGCGTCTAGGTCCACACCATGCCTCTAGGAATTATCTCGCCCGTTTTGTGTTGGCTGTGACGATGACCTCGGTGTCATTCCAATTGAAACGGTGGTCGCACTGGAGTGCGTGCGCAAAGACAAGGGACAGGGGGTCGCGTCGACGACGAGTACAACTCGACTTTTTCCGAAGAACCTCTTCATTTTTTTATTTATATATATGCATATATTCACTCCAGAAGGGACACATATCGATCCACGGGCTTCCCCAAGTAAACAAACTTCGTAGGGTTGATAGAGGTCACGAACAGACAACCACCTACCAGGCCGAAGTCGGTCAAGCTATAAGCGTGCGCCCATTCTCGAGTTAACTTTTTATGAGCAACTTTTTCCCCAGTATTCGCTACAAATTCTTGGCAAATTAGATGAATGACCAGCCATCATATAATGCAAGTGTCAGACGGTGCTCCAGTTACACCTGTTTCACCTCAAGATGCAAACGCGGCTAGAATGATGCAAACAAACATAGGCATCGGAGAGTTTCGCCAGCTTAACCGGCCTAAATCGTCGAACTAAGTGAAAGAAAGGCAGTGAACGCCAAGGTCACGCGTTGTCAAGGTTATGCTCGCCTTTCTGGTCAAGGTCAGCAGTAGCAGCAGCAAAGAAGCTGGCCATTAGGCCGGCAAGCAAGGCAGTCCGTTATAAAACCGGCCTATCGTAAATCACGTTTAATTAGATCGTGAGAGCGTCGAGCCGGATGGAGCGTTCGCTCACGTGTTTATCCGAAGCAAAGGGACATGTACTCGCTCGCAAAAACGTGAGACGCGGTAAGAACAAAACTGCGTGTAACAGGATGTACGCTCAGAATCAGCAGAAGTCAGATTGGTGTCAAATGCAGAAACAGGGAGTTTAAGTATCTAGTAAAATCGCGAACGTCCAAACACCCATCCTGAGGTTAAACATTGATTTTTTTGCATCCACAAAGGTGCAGGACGTGACTCGTATGGTAAAAAAACCCGTACAGAGTTTGGAAGGGTTGATAAATGTCAGCTTACTTTCCTCCACGCGGGGCTATCTGCTGAACCTGACCAATCGTAGCACAGCAGAATTAGCCAGCGAGAAATCGATTTTATCGTGTTTAGCACTAATCGTTGCACGGCTACTTCGGTTGCACGAACACGCGCACGGACGCGCGGGTTTACCGAGAAGGCCGTGCATAGAGCTGCCTGTCTTAGTAGAGAAAACTATAAACTTGGCTCTCGTCGCAAAAAGGTCGGAAAACTCACTGCTTGTTTTGGTCCCAAATTTTGACGGTCCAGTCGGCAGAACAGGTAATGAAGATGTCCTTGTGGAAGTTGTTCCACTCAACGCGATAGACTGCCATGTGATGTGCCTTGTAACTATCGAGATACTGCGATATATACGCCCGACTGCATTTGTGAACCATGCCTTCTTCCGTAGCGATGAGGAAAAGATGGGGTTGAGATTTGTGGAAATCCATGGCGGTGCCGCATTCTGTGTAAAAAAGAGGTCAAAAATTACTAAGCACTCAGATAACCAATAATGCCTTCTCGAGGAAAAACAACTCCATGACAAGCTCTAGCAAGCATGGACAAACAAAACCCCGTGTTGAAGAAGGAGACACGATCGCTGGCACAAGAGCTTTATTAGCCTGACGTTTAAGATTCCCGCTCGAACCCATCGTCAGAGACAAAGGCAGATACGGGTAGCTCATGCACAAGGGGCTGCAGTATTTAAAGGATGTGGTCGCCATACTATCTCGTGAAGCGCACAGGTGAATACTTTTCTCAACGGCAGGGTCGGTAGATCGAGCAACATCACACCAACGTCCAACGCACGTGATGAAATTGCAGCAATTAACGACGCGAATGTCGGCCATCAAACAGTCAGCACACCAAGTGCAACGATCCCTGATGAAGGGGGAGAGACGTGAATACTCCTAGGCATGCGGTAGTATGGCGACTGCATCCTATTAATGCTGCAGCTTCTTGTGCATGAACCACCCGTATCTACTTTTGTCTCTGATGATGGGTGCGAACAGGAATCCGGAACGTCAGGCTAATAAAGCTCTTGTCCCAGCGATCGTCTGTTTCTTCAAAACTGCTTCCTTGGACTCGTCTCTTCGCTTCTATTGGCAAAACCCCACGAGCAGTTAGAAGAGCGGGAGGGAAACTGAAAAACGCAATACCTAGGCTAATTTGAGCCGCTTTATTGATTACAAAATGCTTTCAGAATCATTGGGCTCGAAAGAAACTGCTGTAGGACGTTGTTTTTAATCACAAAAAGCCCGTATTTCACGCTGACAGCCTGACCATCGCTGCCGATGATTCCACCGTGTGCTCCACAACATGGCAGACACAGGGATCGTGACTTGTGCGTAAATTAGTCTTTGATAGCGGTAGGCTTGCGCAGCATTTATCGCACTCCCTCCCTTTGACTCTCATGGGCACGCTGTCAAGACGGCGTCAAGAAAACCGGAGGTGGGATCAGGCGTAGGTGGCTGACACGGCGTGAACCTGCACCTAGGCGTGCCAGCACGACAGTTCGACCGTCGTTGTCGACAATGCCCACAGTGCGCATTACGGCAGGGTAAAGCAGGCCCGGTGAGTTGAGCGGGAATTAGTTTACAGTGATAGTAGACTTGCGCAGCGTCTACCACATTTTCTCCTCGTCCCCCACCTCAACCCGGTGTCAAGACAGAGCCAAGAAGACTGGCGGCGGGGATGGCGTAGGTGGACGGCACGGTCGAGCCTGCACCTTGGCGCTCCACTCCACGCAGCAGATGACCAGCATTTTAACTAACAACATAAATGAGGGGGGTGACAGGGGTCCCAATGTGCGTGACGTCTGTCGGCAACTGGGTCTGCCACCGCACTCCCGAGATGTTCGCATCTATTGCGGAGCGCATTCCAATAACACCCGCCAGAATACGATATGGCCCTCGTGTTGGTCCAGCGCATCTACCGGGCGGCTGGTTTTGGGGGTACAGCGTGCTGCCACACTACCTTAGTTACACACAGGTATAAGAAAGAAGTGTCTGTTGTTGAGTATCCACGGAAACTTTAACGAATTGCTATTTTATACTCAACTGGCGAGTGAGGAGGAGGACGAATAACAGCTATCTTAATGTTCTCACTACATACACTCAGTGGTGAACGCGAAACGGCATTTTGCAGCTGGACAATCAGTTTGCAGGTTCTTACGTGAGTTAACATGTAATGAGGGGTTTGGTAGATGCCGCGAAAGTCTGCCTCGCTATAATGTGAATCACTTGCAAGTTGCCGATGCTGCGCTTGGTAAGATGGGGGTAATGTAGCCTCACCTGATGGACACAATGCTGTTGGGGTTGGGGCTAGAGGTTAGAATAAGGGGTTAGAATAAGGAGATAGGGTTAGGGGTTAGGGCGACTATTTCTCAACCACTCAAAGTAAAATCGCACATTCCCAATAGCTTTTTTTTGCATACAACTACTTGACCTCGTCGCCTGTGCGTTCCCCGGCCCAACCTGTAAAAACCCCTCTTACTGGCGGTCCCGTATTACAGATGGCTGTGGTTTGTTTACTTCGGGCTGGGCTACCTAACTACATCTGACCCTGAGCTTCCTTCGTGGGGCACACGGTGGACGTCTTCGCATGCGACAACGAAATCTCACTAGTGAGGAGTACTTCTGAGGCGTCAGCATAATCTTACATTGGACTGCATGTTGGACGCATGAGATACTCTGGTAGGGAAGGGTCCAGTTTGTTGAAATGACGGTCGTATAAAGTGTGTTGGTGTCCGAGGCGAGCAGCCAAAACTGTTGATAACAGGCACCCAGCTCTCAACTGGGAAGGGGAGGGGGGCTGGATGATGTTGCTCTTAGCGCGACGACAGCATCCGTCCGAACTGCGGACTCAACCAACTGATGATAGCCAAGCCGTCCCTTCATCCCTCACTCACCCCCAAAACCGGCAACACCATCCATTGCCAGCTTAATACGAGGCAGGGGCGATACACAATTTCATGCTTGATCCAGGATAATTCGAGTCGTCTTTGCACCTGATATGATTTTGAGCCCCAGTGGAAATTAGCTGCCGTCCGGGACGTCTAAATCTCTCTCTCTCCTAGGGACGCTTTGCATGTCACGCGTGGAGGAATGGGCTAGAAAAGCTGCCCTAAAGCGTTGGGTCATGTTGCATGGGCGGCTGCCGGCTGGTTGCAATAGGCGTTGAGGACACAGAAAGTGCGAACAATATCCGCCCCTTTGACCTCCCACTAAACAGACATCATCGATCCGTTTCCGCGAATAAGGACCGCTTGACCAAAGCAGGCGCAGAACACATCTTCTGGAACGCTGTCGCGCCTTCGTCCGTAAGAATGGCATTGTAGGCGAGTCTACTTTTTTTCCTGGGGAATCAATGACCATGCGCCTACAGTTCACCCTCCGTCATTAGCTCCGATGACCCAGCAGTGACAGTCCTTGCCGACGCAAAAAAATCCTACGACAAATCGCACGTGTCTTGTGTGTGGGTCGAAGACGAATAAACTAAGTGCAGGAAAGCAAAACCTATGCAGCCTGGAAGGAGTACTTTGCGTCGCAGACAAGCAAACTGCTGCGATATCAATAGATGGGACAGTGCGTGGTATAAAATCTTGTCTTTCGTTCTTCCAATTAAAGTAAGAGAACACGGACGCACCCTCGCCCACGTCACTGGTAGCCGTCAGGCGTAGCCAGGAAGGGGACCTAGTAACGAAAGTGAGCTCTATTTTCGAATGTTCAGGTCTTCAAAATGGGACTGAAAACCCCACTGCAAAGACTCTCTCAGGGAATAAACGCATCTGACCGGATACACAGGCGATCTCATTAGTACAGAGACCACGAGTATGGAACGATCGAGATTCCATGAAGACGAAGGAAACAACCGGAGGAGGCTGAAGGACGTTATTCATAACACTGTCGCGAACAGCCGGTGACCGATCTCATGAAATGTTAACCGAAATTGTGAAATGTGTATTCGATTAGGGAGAAGTACTCAAGTGGGGTCGTAATATTGCTTATCTTGTGGCATGATGTGGTAATATTCCGGACACGCCAGGATGTTGGCATTTAAACGTACTTTTTTCGGTCTCCTCCAATAACCACATCCGGCAAAAACGGCTGACTAAGTAGTATGAATTTTTCTGCTGAATTTCGACGTCCCTATAAATTCAACTACATTTAATAGAAAACATGTATAAAATATTTTCACTTGCCCTTATTCGGCAGCAAATCACGTCTTCTTCCAATTTTATTCTCAAAGAAAGTGGATCTTTCGATTTTAAAAAAGTTTCTAAAAATGAGATTTCTAAGGTCGTGCAATATTCATTCAAGTAACATCGTATCTGTTTATCTAATAATGTTTCTCATGAAATAAAGAACATAATCCACATCTGTTGCATAGTTTCACGAGCTCTAGGTGGTTTCTATTTAATGGCATAAAGGAATGCATGTTTTACTCTACATAAAAAGTAGGTTGTTAGCATAATTGAAAGGTAAAACGCAAACACAGCGGCGGATTGAACTCAAAATTAGTCCGGAGTTGAAAACTTTTTTAAAACCGAAAGATACCCTATCCTCGGGCACGAAATCTGAAGAAGACCTGATTTGTTACCAAATGAGTGTAAGTAAGAATATACTTGTGTATTTTTCCTGCAAAATATTTTTGGGCTTATAGGGGCATCGAAATCCAGTCGAAAACGTGTACACTACTTAAATAGCCATTTTTACTGAGTACAGCTTTTGTTGGCGACAGAAAAGAAGTACATTCAGTCGTCAACATCCTGGCATGTCTGAAGTATTACGGAATTATGCTACAATATAACAACCCCACCTAAGTAATCCTTCCTTATCGAAAACGCATTTTGGAATTTCGGTCAACATTACATGAGATCGATCGCTGACTGTATGTACTCATAAGCGTCCATCATGCGCTTTATGATGTTAAGTTTTCTAATTCTCCCCACATTCATGTGTGAACGTGGTATGAATGCTTCGGCAGTAACCTTTCCAGGTTCGGCCCGAAAGCTGAGGAAATAGCAAACAGAATTTCAGAAATGGGGTACATATGTAGAAGCAGCCGTATCATGCACGGCACAAAATCGGGGAATCGAGTGTCTTGGATTTTAGCTAGCACTCCCTGCTGGGAGTCTGACAGGCCAGCTAACGTCGTCTGTTGTCTGTTGGAGGTCAATGAATACTATGTGATTGTTTTACTAAAGCTCGTGGGGAGCGGCATGTTAAACATACATAAATCAGTCTTAAAACCCAATCCAGGAAAGTGCGTGTCGAAGAACTAACTCCAAGTTTGCATACTAACTTCTGAGGAAAGCAAAAATCTTGCCAACAACCATCTGTGCGCCAAAACAGTAGCTGTGTCCGAGTACTTTTCCCTCGATCGACGCGCACTAACGCACCGGAACTAAGAACCTGCAGAGACGTGTGCATTTGCGGCGCCGTTTTCCCTTCGAAAAAGGCATACCCCCGAGGTTTCCTAGTGGATTGCCTGCACTGAAAATGAGCCAAAACTGTGGGCGGAAAGAAGGTCAGACCTGGAATCTTCCATGCGTTGGTTAACGCCATGGCGGTCTGAAAGCCTTACAACTCTTTTAAAAGTCAGCAAACAGTGGTCTGGGATACCAGTTCTAGGCAAAAATCCGTGGCCTATTTATGCAGACCAGTAGTTAGCTATTGACCGCAGTTGGCCGCTGCAATTGTACTCTCAGTTATGGCGGCGTGACCAAAAGAAAGAAAAGTGCGGCCGTTTTAGCATGAATTGACATGGAGAAGGAAAAGAGGTGCGCGCTCACAAGTCGCTATACGGACCGCCCAGACAACATTAAGTGAGCGGAAATCACTGCAAACAATTCACATAGCCCGAGCAATGGATTTTCTCTCTATTACAATCAACAGAACGGCACAGAAGATTTGTCAAATTTGCAGTAGGTTACGCGTTGGTCGGTCTTGCCACCAGAATAATTTTGACCTTTATATGATTAGATACACTCTCTTGGGTCAATTTAAATCCGTTTATTAAGGGAATGATGCTTTTGCCCTTGAGGTCCCCAGTCATATCGAAAAACAGCAGTAGAACCGATTGTTACATCAGTAAATCGGGACATTCAAAAGTTGACGCCAGGCGCAAACTGCCGCCACTAACACAATCGTGATTATATGTACAGTAGTTTCTCAGAAAATAAACATCTAGTCTGTACTTAGGGGATTCAACAGTTTCGGAATGAACCACCGCGCCAGGAAGGCAGTTCCATGCTCCAATGACCGTCTACGAGCAGATGTTCCGTCAGACGTCTGTATAGGCCAGCTTCCTCTGCAGTTTAAAGGGATTGCCACGCGGACGGTCTGTCCCAGCCAACTCGAAGGATTCGTCAAAGAATACTCCATTTTCCAAAATTAGGTGCCAGAAAGGACACCTTTGTGCATGTTTTCTTTGAAATATATTTGAATTTATGTTGGTATCGAGAACCGCTAGAAAAAGGTGTGCGACTTAAGTGATCATCTTTTGCCTTGGGTGTTTGCTGTCGACTGCTGGAAAGAGGCGGATTCAAAAGCCGGCATCCTGGCATGATCAAAACCTTTTGGAATTGTGCTGCACGATACCTTAGTAACCCTTTCTAGTCGAAAACACATTTCAGAATTTCAGCTAACATTTCATAAGGTGGATCATCTAAGCTCTTTAAGGTTGGAAACACTTGTGTTCAGTCCCCTGCTCGTATTTTTTCTGGTTAGGAATAGGTTAACGGTAAGATAAAGTAACAGAACCAGAGTTGAGTTATGCCATCGGTTTGTGCCTTTACCCCTTTGTCTGTTTCAAAGACGAAGACGATAGACATTGATGTTTCTTATGTCTTTAAAACTGGTCAACTTTGTGAGCAGGATTTCATGGGCTCTGGTTTTATCAGAAAAGTGGAGTGCGTATTTAGTAACAAGGTAATTTGTATGGAAGAAACCTCACCGAGAGTGGCTAACTGCGAAGATTCCGTATCATCGGTCAGCTCTCTTGTCACTTGCATGGTAAGCGCATCGTAGCAGGTGAGGTCATTCTAGCGTAAGGAAGAGCAAGCGTAAGTTTCTGCTCCAAATGGCAGAATTCAAGTTTAACAAACAACAAAACGGAAACGAGGGAAAATTTGAGTCACAGCATCACAAACCTTACCGGACACTCGTGAAAAGCCCCGACACCAGACTAAAAATAGAGACGTTGGCGGGGCGAGTGAGGATAAGAAGGAAAAATGTTAAAAGTGCCTTAGGATTCATTGTTGTCCTATGAGCTCTAGAGAAACTCAAGGAGATGTTTCCACATCGTCCACATCGGCTGGTCATGTCGGCGTCACCTACCATAAACTGCGACCGATAGACTGCTGTTCTAAAGCCGTACAGCCAGAACTCTTGAAACGGACTCCCCCCAGGGTTTGAACTCTATGTCGGGGCTCGGGGGTTCTTTAAAGTGGGAACTTTCCGCCTTGCTAACTGATCAGTGTAAATAAGCGCAGAACTGCCACAAAACGCGTTTGTTTTTTCGATTCGATAGGTGTCAGTATTCGCGTCCATAAATCTCTTTTGTTATTATTTATCATGTCTAACAGTCGTGGTCTGGCGCGTTGTAAAATGACGGGATAATCTAGTTCTCCGCATGGAAGGTCGAACTGTGCGCAGACAGACTAGGATATGTGTAATTCGCGCAAAGGAGTTGTTACCTTAAACCTACAACTCCATTTCCGTTATTCCCGAGTCCTCCTGTCATTAAAACGTGGTCGGGTTAAAAATCACGTACAAAGACGATGTTGTGCAAGCTACCTACACTATAAACAGACCCCTGCTCAAGTCATAACTGAAATGTATTTGGCGATTGCAACGACAAATTGCTGATTGTAGTAGCCCAAGCCATGGTGTTCTACGCCAAATGATGAAGGCGATGGCTTTCAGGATGACATGAGTCATATATTGGGAAGATAGTTGAGGAAGTCATTTAAAAGCGTCTCTTCTCATCAGTCACTCCATAAAAATAATTTTTAAATCAGCGAGATGAGGGATTAAAAATCGTGTAAATTTCCTTGCTAGTCACATGGGAAAATTCGGACCCAAGTCATGGCTGGGCACCCGGTCAAATGCTTGCGTCAACCTTTGAAAAGGTAAAAAAATATGGACTAAAATTCAGAAACCGTAACATCTAGTCGAAGATCTATAACCGGCCCAGAACAGATAGCTTTATGGGGAGGGGAAGGAAAGAATTTCAAAAACCATCAGTAGGTTCGTCATTCTTATGCATTTAAGATTCCAGTTACGATTTTTCTAAAGTACGTTTCATGAAATCTAGGGTAGAAACAAAAAGAATAAGTTTCGACCAGCGAAAACGGCTTTTGTCTTTCCAATCCATAGCGTTGGACACGGTTTGTGAAGGGTAAGACATTAAGCCTGGCTTTTTGGTCAACAAAAGATCTACAAATTAGTATGTCGATTGAGTCCATTATTTTCAAATTCACTGCGCTGTGATAAGTTTTAGAATGCACGTTCCGCATTTGTGCATGGGTACAATTCACAACACACCGACCAACTGATAGAAACCGCGAGCAAAATGTCAAATAATTATGCATGTGAGTTTGAATTACTTGAAAAGCGAAAAAACTGCATTTCTAAATACTTCCTTAAAATGAAACCCGGCACATGGAACAAAAATGACCATCCTACTGACAGAAATAAGTAAAAAAATAATTTCAATTTTTAATTTATCGAATCTTAGTCTGCAAAAAGGCAAAATAAAAAAAGAAAGGAAAGTGACAAATGTGCCGTAAGGCATGAAATAAACTGTGCTACTGGTTATAAAACAGTGCAAAACGAAACGTTTGCGGCCAAATGGGGCTGATTTGCGCGTTTTTAACATTCATATAAGGAAAAATTTGTCGACTAAATGACAAAGATGCAGATGAAGCTTCAGTCGGACGGAGTTATTTAAATGAAAAAATTACGTGAATTAACTAACCCTTAGTAGAGTCCAACTTGTTACCCGACCGTCTGCACTAATGGAGAAGAAATTCCTATTGTTCTGTACATCACGCGCCTGCCATTTTACTTGCCAAACAGGATCCGTGTGCTTGCCGGCCTTTGCAGAACTTATGTAAAGTGGCCCACTTTTTTGCTGATCCAGTTTGTACACGGCAACTGAGCCATCGTAGAAACCAACGCAAACAAGATATGGATATTCCTTGTGAAGATCCAAACACAAAACTCCGGATTCGGTCTCAAAAATATACTCCGGGTGGCCAGGGTTCTTCAGCGAATAGAAGCAAATCATGCCAGTAACCTGCTTCAAAAAGTCGTCTGACAAATACGAGACAAGTGGTAAATGTTTTAAGAACACGATCAGAACACACAGAGAAGATTAATGAATGTTAAAAATGTCTTATTATCAAATATACTATGCATTATTATCAGCAATATTATTAAAAGATTCGTATTTTAAACTTTTGGTTTCCCAGAAATGATGAGCAATGTTATTTCCATGGAATGTTCACTGGTGGCACATTAACTGCGTCACTTTACCTGACATTAATGCTGATTTTCACCTAAAATGAATTCTGTTTTGTGAGACAAGGCCAATATAGCCAAACACCAATAAAACAAGTCTTCCCAACATAAGTGGCATGAAGATTAACACCTCGAGGAAATGAGTAGTAACTGTGAAGATGGGTATCAGAAACCCCAAGTGCTTATTTTGCATATACTAAGTCTCACTTTTAACAAAAGAGTTCCCTGATCTTCAATGGCGAAAATAAAACATTATCAAAATTCCTTCTCTTTATTTGCATCTGTACCCTATTTAAAATAAATCAAATTTATAGAAAACAATTTTTTGTATATGAAAGCGGTTTCCGAATGGTAACAAACATTCCATAACTTACATGAGCCAAGTCCGACGGCAAACAAGTCAGAGTACAGCGGTGACCAACAGAGAGCAGTAACAGTCAGTTTCTTTGACTTTTCGTAGGAAAAAGTCCATAGCGGTAAAAGTGTTCCTAAAGAATCTCTGAATTCGTCGGAGGCATCTTCAAAATATTTAAAGTCCTGAGAAACTTCGTCAAACGTGTTCTGATTAATCATCCTTTCTACAGTCCGAATTGGTTGTAGGAATTTAGTGATGTCATCAAACTGCGTAATTCAGTTGAAAATTTTGGAACCTACTTGAGACTCAGAGGCAACAGCCTTTTTTTTCTTTTTGACGTCTTTCTTGCCACCCCTTGGAGGTTTCTTTTCCATCGCTTTTTCCTAAGAAAATATTTCAAGGACGGCGTATCACCTTCTTTGCGAAGTCCTCCTTGTAATCGTCGTAAATGGACCACTGAGTCACATTGGCTGAATAAGTTCCACGCGCTGGTGGCTCGGTCATGGTCCCCCTTTCCTTTTATACATCAAACTTTAGAAATAAAATACCCGAAAAGGTTCGCTGTACGTCTGACTAAAGTGTTCACAGAAATTAAACTGATTCGCCAATTTTTTCGGAGGCCGTGGTTGAAATTTGGGTTTGCTCTTTTCACCTTCGCCAGTCTAAGGAATAAATCATATTAACGAAGTTAACCTTTTCTTGGCCGTCCTTTACTCCCGAACCATCAGCGTTCTCTTCGTCCTCTACAGGCAGAATTATTAATTTTGACAACTTGCCATCTATTATGAGCAAACCCTTCTCAACCAACTGTTGTGTGGCCTCATCGCTGTTCTTATCAATCATGTTGCCTTCAAGAAAAAAATGGACAGCCATCTGTTCAACTTGGGGTATAGGTTTATATTGGCCTTCCTTGGCAAAAGTGAAATAAAAAACGATAAAATACTTTAAAATTAAACCGAACGATATTTTTGGGTGCATGAGGATTGTTTGCAGTCAAAACGCGCGTTATATCTTCTTTTAGTTCCTACAAGTTTCAAAACTTAAAAAAATTACGGCATCCGTTAATTGAAGTTGGTCATCTGGCTTCACAACTCCAAGATCATCCTTTGGAATATCTGGAACCTCCTCATTATGCACACTTCTTCTAACGATTCTTGTGGCCTCCTAAAAATTAGCTGCTTATGTGTGCCAAACCTTCTTCTTCATATTTTTCGTTGATAGTTATTACCAATCTGTTAATTATATTCCGAGTTATGCATAAATGGCAATTATCAAAGCTACGTGCCAAAATAGGCAATTTTCATTGGTAGCTCTTCACAAGTAGGCCAACTATCCCGATATCAGGGACTCGTGAATATCTGGCAGCGTATCTGTCAAAATCGGCATGGGTACAGGGAAAACTTAGCTCTAGAGTGCTCAGCAAAACAGGGGACGGACAAGAAAAATGAAACGTAGAGTGGAGAAAACGTGAAGGGGCGGTAAATAAGGAGGAGGGTGTGGAAAATCAACAGAAAGCGGTAAAATTTGCCCGACTTGGAAAAGCAAGGGAAACTGAGATGACGACGGACAGTGCTCAGTGAAATGCGATAACCACACCGAATACTTGCGCAAGATGCAAGTATCTTTTGTTCATATGATCACACCGGCTCCCAAATGTATTTGAAAGAGGCAGTTAAAATATCCCTGCGTCACATGACTGGCAGCAACAATTCAGATCCGTGTAGTTACCATTCGACATGGATATGATCGGGATGACTCCCATAAAGAATGATCTACACGTTTGGCTGGGATGGCTGACGATGTCTAACGAGCCAGAAATGCTCATCCCAATTTCTCTTGTCTCTTCCAGCCCGGCTTATTCGGGAAATAGATGTGGGCCCTTGAGTTCCGCACGAGACCTTCAAGACTTTTTCGACATTTCTCCCTTTGCTATATCACTTGTCATTTTTCGGCTGTCTGAAGGGCCCTTAATCGAGCCCCTGTATCCCGATCGGTGAACAAACTTCCAACATAGTATGAAGTCCACTTCTAAATGTCACAGAAGTATCTGAATGCACAATCGTATCAGGAAGTCCGCCACAGGCCCCAACAATAATCTGCGGGAATACGTTCCGTCGGACATTCATATGGCTAATTGACTTTGCAATTTAATGGGATGGCCAAAGGGACATTACCCTTTAGAACATTCAGAGCAGTTCCCGAAATGTAGGACACATTTGTGGCTTTCACATTATATCAGGTAGACTAAGACCACACATAGTAAGTTCATCCCATCTGATGGCAAAGTCGGATCGCAGTAGGACACGATTAATTGTATACGAAGTGCAAACTGTTGTGAATTAGAAGTTTGCAAGTCAATATAAAAAAATCTGCTCTGCAATGAATGAGAGGCAGCGTTCAGATGTGTCTACGCTGGTATGACCAGTGATTGCCAGCATGAACAAGAGATTAGTTAAATATAAATTAATGATTAATTTTTACATGAACAGAATTTATGGGCGTGTTCGCGAGTGATGAAACACAAGGTTGTAAACCATACCGCCCAACCTGTCGGATGGTGGCACCTGGCCAAAGGCGCAGGCGCGGCTGCCGCAAACTCATAACCTCTCACAATCAGGTTGATTTAAATGAGGTCATCGTGCACCTGCCTGTAATTCAGTGGAGACAAATTAAGTTCGGCCAATCTGGTTTTGCTTGACAGAGCGCCAAGTTCTTTCACCACCCACGTAACCTTCGTTTGAATTCTTTCCAGCAGTTGATAATCCTTCCTGAAATGATGACGCTACTTCAAGCGCGGCCGGACGAGTGTTCCGTAAGTTTTACAGGGGAGTTCCGACTAATGCAGATAAACGCTCGTTTTGGGGCGAATAGCGCATGTGTCGCTCGTTTAGCTGCCCTCAAACACAGTGACGAGGGCCTAAGTAACGAAGCCATCAACACATAGAGGTCCTTCTGTTCATCAACATTTAAAATGTGTTGCGCATCAAGGAGGTGTCGGAAAGAATTATCTTCCAAATGGGTTTTTCTGACTTGGAATCTTAAGACCGCATACAAGCAGGGAAACTGCTAATTCAGTTGAGACTCTTTCGAAATGGGTACCTATCTGCTTCAGACCTGGTGGCCCCCAGAATATGGCATCATTAACAAATGGGACAGCACTGCAGTCAAGGTGGTTGATATGACGTTGATGTAGACAAGGAAGTGTTCAGAGACTGAGAACTGGGAAAAACCATTTAAACAAACGTATTGATTGACTTTCGAGGACCTATTTAGAGGTCCTTTTGAATGGTGACTTTCTCGTTATGCTTTGAAAGGGATTTGAAATTTGCTAGAGTATTTCCATATCATGTTGTATTCTGTCATTTGGGTATCGGAAACAGACCCATTCATGCCCTTTATGACGATATATTTACTGCGATCAAATCGACGGTTATATGCTTTATTATCATATACAGACCATGATATGGTTATTCCTGTTGTCTTCATATTTTGATTCGTGGAGATTTACCATGGTAAAGTTAGCACATGTTTTCGAGCTTACCGGAAACATATTTGGAATCGTCG